ATTATTCATAAGTTTATACAATATTTATGATAATTTATGATTAAATATCCATTCTCTTATACACTACTTCAGATCATTTGTAATTATTTAACATACTATAATTATTTAATTGCTATTATACTGAATTTATTTATTTTAGCTCTATTTACATAATTATAAAATAAGTATGAATTAGTTTGTACAATATTTTTTATAATTTAATTTTTTTTCTTATGAATAATTTTTAGTTTTTCTAATTCATAAATATAATTAATAAACATACATATAATTATTAGCATGATATAATATTAAAAAAATAGAAGATTGAGTTAAATAATTAATATCATTTAGCGACGAATTTTGTGACGGTTTTGAAACCGTCGCTAATGCACGGGCCGCCCGTCGGCGTCGGACGGGGTCCGCCCGCCGGCGTCGGACGGGGCCCTCCCGCCGGCGTCGGACGGGGCCTTTCCGCCGGCTGTGGTGATTTGGTTCTGGCGGTGGTGGCGATGTCGGCGATTTGGCGGCGGTGGTGGATTGGCGCCGGCGACAGTAATGGTGGAATGGGATTTGTTTTATAAAAAATAAACAAAGGGTAAAAATGTCATTTTAGTTTAATTTACGGGCGGCAAATAGTAAAGAGACGGGCGGCAAATAGTGGAAAAAATCCCACTGTACACATGTTTTTAAAAAAAATTCTCAAAATACACATGTTATGAAAAAAATTCCCAAACTACGCATGTTTGGGTCTTCACCGCGTCAGACTAAGGCGGTGATTGCTTCACCGCGTTAAAGAAGGGCGGTGATGCAATACCCGCGTTAGAGAAAAACGGTGATTGCATCACCGCTGTAGACAAAAACGGTGATAGCTTCACCGCGTTCGACGGCCGCGGTGAAGGCCTGACCTGCGTCGAATCTTTAAAAAAACGTAACTTTGTGCTCGATTATCCGATCATGGTGAAATTTTTTTTGATATGGTATCGAGAAGGATGAATGGCTGCTGGACAATTGGATAACAGAACACAACAATGATCTCCTCCCTCCAAAATTCAAACATCTCTTGAGGTCGAACAAGGGGATCTCAGAAATGCATGCAATGGTCGCAAAAGTGCATGCAGATTGTGGAGTTTCACTACGGAAATCATATGAGTTGTTCACCACAACTTCAGGGGGAGGGAGAATGTACCTTTTACCCCTCATGATCTGAAGAACTATATCACAGGGACAAGGCAGAAATCAATGAAACCAGGCAAAGCAACTATACTTCTTGAACATTTTCGCCAGGAAGCTTACAAGAATCCATCATTCTTCTATGAAATTGAGGTAGATAGTAATGAAGATATTGCAAGTATATTCTGGGCTGATGCAAGAATGCGGTTTGACTACAGTTGCTTCGGAGATACGATCAGCTTCGACACCACATACAGGACAAACCAGAATTATCGTCCACTAGGTCAGTATTCCTTGCACTAGTTAATTTTCTTGAGATTTCGAAGTTGAATGCATACCAAACATTACACAATGCATTAGGAGGTTTCTGGTGTGATTTTGCAAATGTTGTGGTTTGCTTTGTGAGGTTTGTGGTTTGCATTAATAGGTTTCTGGTCTGCTTCCGCAAATATTGTGGTTTGCTTTGTGAGGTTTGTGGTCTGTTTTATAAGATTTGTGGTGTGCATTAGAAGGTTTGTGGTTTGCATTAAGAAGTATTCCTTGCACTAGATAATTTTCTTGATATTTCGAAATTGAATGCATATAAAACATTACGCAATGCATACCACAAACCTCCTAAACCATACTAAAAGCGTCCTGAAGCACACTATATATATCATAAAAGACAGTCTTTGTTTGTTTCAATGTTTAATTCTATGTTGTTCTTTTTTTTTTTTTTAAATTACAGCTTTGTTTGTTGGCTTCAACCACCATCGTGCACTTTGCATCTTCGGGGCTGCTCTCCTATATGATGAAACAACCGCTACATTCAAGTGGTTGTTCGATGCATTCTTGAAATGTATGTCAGGCATCCGACCAACATCAATATTCACCGACCAAGCTGCTGCAATCGCCGCTGGGATTAGATCCGTCATTCTTGAAGCATTCCTTGGCTTGTGTACTTTTCATATCAAGCAGAATGCAATGAAGCATCTCGACACCACAAACACAAACATTCTAGAAGATCTGAAATATGTCACTTTTGGAGTAGAAAATGAGGAAGAATTTGAGTACAATTGGTCAAGGTTGCTAGACACATATTATCCAGAAGAAGGCACCAATCCAAGGAACTGGTTGGATTCAATTTACAAGGTGAGGAAACAGTGGTCTTCAGCATGGATTAAGGACCACTTCACAGCTGGTATGCGAAGCTCGCAGCTGAGTGAGTCTTGTAACAACAACCTCCGAAACTACCTTCAACCAGATGACAACCTAGTTGAGTTCTTCACATACTTCAACAAGTTGCTCGAACGGAAAAGATCAGACGAAATGGACATGGATTATCAAATGGCAAACACAGTCCCAAACAACATGTACGTATTACTTTCTTTATTTGAAATTTTTATACTATAGAATGCATCCACAGAACAGTTGAATACAACCCAGATACCACCTAAACCAACCCAAAAACCCTACAATCCACACCACAGACCACCTAATCCAAACCATAAACTCCACAATGCACACCGCACAAGCTTAAACAACCCATATACCACCTAAACCAACCCAAAAACCCTACAATCCACACCATAGACCACCTAATACAACCCATAAACACCACAATCCACACCACACACGACTTAAAATAACCCATAAATCCCACAATTCGCACTACAAACAGTACAATACATACCATAAAATCATTAATGTAGACAAGATGCTTATGAATGATTGTATGTTGTATGTCATCTTCCAACAGAATGTGTTTGAACCTAACTGAGTGTAGGAGTGAGGTTCGGAGAATGATGTGGGTCAAGAAGAGCGAACAAAGGGGGAAATCTATGATCTTGCGGGTAACGGGGACTGGGGGAATCAGACTGATGAGGATGAGAGGATGAGATAGGGAGAATTCGAGTTTCTAGAGAGAGAAGTCGATATTCATAGAGATAGAATGTCCAAAATGCGATCCCCTCACCCACCGTAGTAAATGCCATATTTATAGGCTACATGGTGGTGGGTGAGTGGTTGACTCATATGAGGGTACAGTGATGTGACTACTGACATACTAAGGGTTTAGGCCATGCTTCTACCTAGGACGTGTCAGAGACTTATCTAGGGCTATGTTTAGGGCCCTGATGTGACTACCCCTCGGGGAGTGAGATGACGCTTTCCACATCCCTTTGGTCTGGTCCGCGCTATGATCTTTTCACATGCGCGTGGCTTGTTCCGCGCTCGAGCTTCTCGCGCCAGGACGTGGCGAACCACACTGGGGGGTCTTCGGTCGCGATGTGTTCCTTTGGCGCGGTTAGGTCCGAGTCATATGCCCAACAGTTATCCTAGCAACAAAAGTCTCAATGAATGACAAGGTCTTCTTAATGGTTAAGGAAAAGATTGCAGAGCTCACTAAACTAGCTTTCCAAAGCCTTCAGACTCAAGAAACTCAGCAAACAGTACCTGGTAATTTCACACATCTTGTTAGCATCCCTACTTATATTCACCAGTAATTGCTTAATCCAAGCCACTAATGATCTAATGCAAACCATAAACATCTTAATCCAATCCACTAATTGCTTAATCCCTACTTATGTTCACCAGTATCTTGCATATTGCTTTTTCAACAGATGGAACCACCAGTACATCACCCTCACAAAGCGCTGCTGCTTCAGCTACAAATGACAAATACAAATTATGTTGTTCAATGCTTCCTTTGTTCTTCATATTGAAGAAAACAAATTTCACCTACAGGTTCTGTACGACACCCGGCCAACGGGCCGGGCACAATGCTAGTATAACATAAAAGTCTTATGAACAAGGAATTGACCTACTGATTATATCACTAGATTTAAATATGAAAGTTCCATATTCGAACCTTTTAATTAGCATTTAACTATAAGAATCAACATATCTCACCCTGAAAAAATATAACACAATAGTCTTTTCCAATGCAAATGTGAGATTCCATCTTCTGAATTTATTGAACAATGCGATTCAATCCAAAAAAAATAAAAATCTGGTATGTCTAAATCAAACTAACGCGATGAAGACCACTTAATTAAAAAACTTTATTTTTATATATGAACCACCAACGAATTTTGTATTCTGGAGAAGCCAAGCCATATATATATATGAAGCCAAGCCATATATATATATATGAACGAATCTGATGCATTAGGATTAGGGAAAGCGACCTACTAACGCGATCGATGGGATGCAACTCCCACTTCCTCCTCTCCGACATGCCATGCCATGCCATGCCAGGACTCTCATCATGCTTTATCATTTTACACACGTACAACTCAAACAAACAGATTTTAGAGTAACAGTTGCACTTGTAATAATGCATTTAACAAATAACTCCAGCAATCAGCTGCATGCTACACCTAGTATATATGGTACATGTTTCAATTCATGGATCAATGAGACATGTATAGGGGACCGGATATGGTGACAACACCATATTTGTTGTTATTGTAACAACAACATAGGTGGACCAATAAGAACCCACCATTCTGCATACTTTTGAAATTCATGCGTTGACTAGGGTAAAATACAAAGGAAGGGTATTTTTGTCTTACCGAAAATTACCAGCTCCTTTTGTCCGAAAATTTCCAGCTCGTTTCTCTCTCCCCACTTTATTCTCTGTCCAATCGCGCGGCGCCGAGGCTGAACGAGGGCGACGAATCCTCACGGCAGCGACGCAACGGCGGCGACGAGATCCTGATCGCAGCAGCAACAGCAACGCCGGCGACGAGATCCTGATCGCAGCAGCTACAGCAACAGCGGCGACGAGATCCTGATCGCAGCAGCTACAGCAACGGCGGCGACGAGATCTGATCGCAGCAGCTACAGCAACGACGGCGACGGCGGAGCAAGCTCCTTATCGCAGCTAAGACATTGACGATGGACTTGAATCGTGTAGATGAAGTTTCTGTTGGTTCTGTAGATGCTCAAGAACTCCTGCAAATTGCAACATCTTCTGACAATGCAACAGAAGTTCGATATCAGCTGGAAACCTCTATTTCCACCAACAGTGGCAACAATGAACAAGAAGAAGGTACGCTCAACTCAATCCTTCCTGTTTTCTTGCAATGAGCACCACAATCACGCTTATACAAGCCATTTACCATATCATAAGCACTACCAATCAAACCGCCCACAAAAATCCCACAAACGATACCAAAAGCATCGCCAAACACACCACATTCTTCCCAAAACAAACCACATGAAAAAAAAGACAATCAACCAAAACACTTTAAAAACAAACCACAATACTTCTTAAACGCACCAAAACACCTCCAATGCACACCATTAAAACCTAAATCGTTACATTCCGCAATCTGTTTGTAAAAAAAAGCACACTGTAATGCAAACCATAAATATTATAAAAGAATCATGAATAACTACAATGCAAACCACTTTTCACTTTTCTAGCAAATATCATCGCAAGATGAAATGATTAAACCGCCCACAAAAATCCCACAAACGATACCAAAAGCATCGCCAAACACACCACATTCTTCCCAAAACAAACCACAGTAAAAAAAGAGACAATCAACCAAAGCACTTTAAAAACAAACCACAATACTTCTTAAATGCACCAAAACACCTTCAATACACACCATTAAAACGTAAATCGTTACATTCCGCAATCTGTTTGTAAAAAAGATCATACACTGTAATGCAAACCATAAATGTCATAAAAGCATCATGAATAACTACAATGCAAACCACTTTTCACTTTTCTAGTAAATATTATCGCAAGATGAAATGATCAAGTGCTCATTTCTTTCATCATTGCTTACAGGTGTGACATCAAACAGGTCCGAGTCGTTGTCAAAAAAAAAAAAACAGGTCCGAGTCAGACTACACTAGTTTGGGGTTGGCATTCAAAACCATTGAGGAAGCAAAACAATTCTACAAGAACTATGCTCACGATCTTGGCTTCAGCGTGAGGGACATGGGAGCTGTCAAACGTTATACAAAAAGACGGCCAACCAAAAAAGCACGATATGCTAGGTATTGCTGCAGCAAAGAATGATACAAGACCAGAAGCAAGTCAAATCCCAAGAATAAAGGATCAATAGATGTCAAGGCTTATCAACGTGCTGTACCAGAAACTAGAGTTGGCTGCCCAGCTATAATCAAATTCAGATATGATATCGAGAAGGATGAATGGCTGCTGGACAAGTGGATAACAGAACACAACCATGATCTCCTCCCTCCAAAATTCAAACATCTCTTGAGGCCGAACAAGGGGATCTCAGAAATGCATGCAATGGTCGCAAAAGTGCATGCAGATTGTGGAGTTTCACTACGGAAATCATATGAGTTGTTCACCACAACTTCAGGGGGAGGGAGAATGTACCTTTTACCCCTCATGATCTGAAGAACTATATCACAGGGACAAGGCAGAAATCAATGAAACCAGGCAAAGCAACTATACTTCTTGAACATTTTTGCCAGGAAGCTTACAAGAATCCATCATTCTTCTATGAAATTGAGGTAGATAGTAATGAAGATATTGCAAGTATATTCTGGGCTGATGCAAGAATGCGGTTTGACTACAGTTGCTTCGGAGATACGATCAGCTTCGACACCACATACAGGACAAACCAGAATTATCGTCCACTAGGTCAGTATTCCTTGCACTAGTTAATTTTCTTGAGATTTCGAAGTTGAATGCATACCAAACATTACACAATGCATTAGGAGGTTTCTGGTGTGATTTTGCAAATGTTGTGGTTTGCTTTGTGAGGTTTGTGGTTTTCTTTGTGAGGTTTGTGGTTTGCATTAATAGGTTTCTGGTCTGCTTCCGCAAATATTTTGGTTTGCTTTGTGAGGTTTGTGGTCTGTTTTATAAGATTTGTGGTGTGCATTAGAAGGTTTGTGGTTTGCATTAAGAAGTATTCCTTGCACTAGATAATTTTCTTGATATTTCGAAATTGAATGCATATAAAACATTACGCAATGCATACCACAAACCTCCTAAACCATACTAAAAGCGTCCTGAAGCACACTATATATATCATAAAAGACAGTCTTTGTTTGTTTCAATGTTTAATTCTATGTTGTTCTTTTTTTTTTTTAATTACAGCTTTGTTTGTTGGCTTCAACCACCATCGTGCACTTTGCATCTTCGGGGCTGCTCTCCTATATGATGAAACAACCGCTACATTCAAGTGGTTGTTCGATGCATTCTTGAAATGTATGCCAGGCATCCGACCAACATCAATATTCACCGACCAAGCTGCTGCAATCGCCGCTGGGATTAGATCCGTCATTCTTGAAGCATTCCTTGGCTTGTGTACTTTTCATATCAAGCAGAATGCAATGAAGCATCTCGACACCACAAACACAAACATTCTAGAAGATCTGAAATATGTCACTTTTGGAGTAGAAAATGAGGAAGAATTTGAGTACAATTGGTCAAGGTTGCTAGACACATATTATCCAGAAGAAGGCACCAATCCAAGGAACTGGTTGGATTCAATTTACAAGGTGAGGAAACAGTGGTCTTCAGCATGGATTAAGGACCACTTCACAGCTGGTATGCGAAGCTCGCAGCTGAGTGAGTCTTGTAACAGCAACCTCCGAAACTACCTTCAACCAGATGACAACCTAGTTGAGTTCTTCACATACTTCAACAAGTTGCTCGAACGGAAAAGATCAGACGAAATGGACATGGATTATCAAATGGCAAACACAGTCCCAAACAACATGTACGTATTACTTTCTTTATTTGAAATTTTTATACTATAGAATGCATCCACAGAACAGTTGAATACAACCCAGATACCACCTAAACCAACCCAAAAACCCTACAATCCACACCACAGACCACCTAATCCAAACCATAAACTCCACAATGCACACCGCACAAGCTTAAACAACCCATATACCACCTAAACCAACCCAAAAACCCTACAATCCACACCATAGACCACCTAATACAACCCATAAACACCACAATCCACACCACACACGACTTAAAATAACCCATAAATCCCACAATCCGCACTACAAACAGTACAATACATACCATAAAATCATTAATGTAGACAAGATGCTTATGAATGATTGTATGTTGTATGTCATCTTCCAACAGAATGTGTTTGAACCTAACTGAGTGTAGGAGTGAGGTTCGGAGAATGATGTGGGTCAAGAAGAGCGAACAAAGGGGGAAATCTATGATCTTGCGGGTAACGGGGACTGGGGGAATCAGACTGATGAGGATGAGAGGATGAGATAGGGAGAATTCGAGTTTCTAGAGAGAGAAGTCGATATTCATAGAGATAGAATGTCCAAAATGCGATCCCCTCACCCACCGTAGTAAATGCCATATTTATAGGCTACATGGTGGTGGGTGAGTGGTTGACTCATATGAGGGTACAGTGATGTGACTACTGACATACTAAGGGTTTAGGCCATGCTTCTACCTAGGACGTGTCAGAGACTTATCTAGGGCTATGTTTAGGGCCCTATGTGACTACCCCTCGGGGAGTGAGATGACGCTTTCCACATCCCTTTGGTCTGGTCCGCGCTATGATCTTTTCACATGCGCGTGGCTTGTTCCGCGCTCGAGCTTCTCGCGCCGGGACGTGGCGAACCACACTGGGGGGTCTTCGGTCGCGATGTGTTCCTTTGGCGCGGTTAGGTCCGAGTCATATGCCCAACAGTTATCCTAGCAACAAAAGTCTCAATGAATGACAAGGTCTTCTTAATGGTTAAAGAAAAGATTGCAGAGCTCACTAAACTAGCTTTCCAAAGCCTTCAGACTCAAGAAACTCAGCAAACAGTACCTGGTAATTTCACACATCTTGTTAGCATCCCTACTTATATTCACCAGTAATTGCTTAATCCAAGCCACTAATGATCTAATGCAAACCATAAACATCTTAATCCAATCCACTAATTGCTTAATCCCTACTTATGTTCACCAGTATCTTGCATATTGCTTTTTCAACAGATGGAACCACCAGTACATCACCCTCACAAAGCGCTGCTGCTTCAGCTACAAATGACAAATATGCCAATGTGAAGGGATTCAAGGCTCGAAAAGACCCATGAAAATCAAAGAAGAGGCCAAGAGGTGGACTTGAGGTAGCGCTGGAGAGGGCTAGAAAGCAAAGAATTGATGAACAGGCCGCCAACAAGCGTTACAAAAGCAACAATGAGTGATTAGTCTCCTTGTTGTTATCCGTGTTTTTTTTATCTGTCATAAACTTTTAGATTTCAATGACAACTATGAGAAAAATATGAACAGTTGCAGGTTTTGATAATATTTGATCAAACAATAACACAGATACAGCAAAACAAACTACATATGTACTAAAACACACCATACAGGAAACAAAACAAACTACGAAACCTCTTAACAAAACCAAACCACAAACATATGGAAACTTTCCAGAACACTCATTAAGCAAACCACTTATGTACTAACACAAACCATACATTGTACAACCCCCGGGAAAAAGAACCAAACTATAAACCTTATGAACCACACTACAATACCCGTTAAACAATCCACTTGTCTTATAATACACACCATACACGAAGAACACAATTCTTCTTAATCAACCCACAACACTTCAGATACTGAACACAATAGCCTTAATCAACACCATTAACACACTAAAACACATATTAACACACTGAAATCTGAAACTGTTCTTGCAAATGCATGCTAAAATCAGCTAGTCCACCTTGCGATCAAACTCCAAACTCTTCTTCTTCACCTGTTCAAGTAAACTGTTCTCCTCGTTCAGCAGCAATGTTAATGTGATCTCATCCCGCCTCTGATTGATTTGTTTTTGCCACTTCCTCATAGCTGGCTCCAGTTTGCCTTCCCAAAACTCAGCAAAATTCATAGCAAAAACACCACAGTCAACCCCACCACGTTGTCTCACCCCTCGCATTCTAACCCACTTAAATTCTTCAAATTTGAAGGGCTCTTGTCTACAGGCAGGAATGTATTCTGTGGCATAGCGGACCACCATATCCGCAACAGCACGAAACTTGGAATCAAGGTCGTCAGGGTAAAGGCTGTCAAGATAATCATACCGTTTGTTCTTCAGATTCACTACATACATCCTGTAGTGTTTATCAGAACAGTGGGGGAATATCCACTGCATGCAGAACAAAAACAAGTCAGTACTCTAAAAGCACAATGAAGAAAAAACACACATGAAACAATGTAGCGAATCTGACTAAAAAAATACATACATAATCACATTGTGAGAAATCCAAACCATCTGGTATCCACTTGCAACTTGTAATAATTTCACCAGTCTCTTCAAAAAAATTAGGCAGTGGTCCAGAGTCTTTCACTATCGCTTGCACTTTTTGCTACAAGGTAGAACACAACATAAACACAGTAAAACAAACCGGACGTATTATAATGCACACCACAAAAACCCTAAAACAAACCAGACGTATTATAATGCACACCACAAAAACCCTAAAACAAACCAGACGTATTATAATGCACAACACAAAACCCTTAAACCAAACCAGACGTATTATAATGCACACCACAAAAACCCTAAAACAAACCAGAACTAGCAGAAAATGTAACTCACCGCCAGCCCTGAATAGAACACCCATCTTTTCAGTTGCCCTCTTCTCACTTGCTCCGGATTCAGATAGGCAGCATAGCAGTCAATAACATCCACACTCACACATTGCCCATGTGCCAAAGTCTTTGTGTCCTTTCTATACAAGCAATCGTATCCATCAACACGACTGAAAAGGAGTTCCTTCCTATTTTTCACAATCCATAACAAACAAAACAGTCGGCATTAGAAAAGTACTAATAAGCACTATATAAAAAAATATATACAAACAACCGCATATGTATGAAATCTATACACATTAACTTACAAGTTATTCGAATCCCTTGCATATCGCAACACAGCACCCTTCAACACATCAATATCAACACCTGATGAGCCTCCTGCATTCTTCACTTTAAATTTTTTCTGATTTTTAAAGCAACCCACAAATTAGATAAAACAGTACTAAAAACAACTAACACAAACCACAAATGCGATAAACCACACTACAAAAACAAACCAAAACTGAAACATTGTACAACAAATTACCTTTCCCTTCCTAACTAGCTGACTCAATGTTAAATCTGCACTATCATCACAACCCTCAAGCACCTCACCGACATCAGCTTCTTTCCTTTTCTCATCAACCACCACATCTTCACAAACATCCCCCATAGCAGACTACAGAAACCAAACCACAAAAGTTTTTAACAAAACCAGATATATGTAAACCACACTACTAACAAATGCAAAACAACCTACTACAAAAGACATGACAAACAAACCAAAAACAGTATAATCCACACCACAAATATTCAAACACAAAACAGTAAAAAATACCTTTATGACCTTCTCAACCAAGTTATCCAACTTAGCTGCATCAACACCATCAACATTGTCATCTCCATCATCACCTTGTCCCTTTTCCTCACAGCTGTCCATCTCCATCACCTTCTTAGCATTCTCAGAATCAACACTTTTTTGTGTCATCTCCATTGTCATATTATCAAGATGATCATCAAGCCCCTTCGAATCTGATACTCCCTTAGGAGAGGTATCATCATTAGCAGTGCCAGCAGGATCATTGTGACCAACACCTGGCGACACACCATCAGCAGTACAAGCACCATCCTTATCCATCTCCATTGACAAATCATCAAGACCCGGGGACTTTGGACTGTTAGCACCAGTCTCATCATCAGCATTGGCAGCAGATGCATTACGACCGACATCATTGGTTCCCTTACCAACAGCAACATCATCAACTCTATCAGTGAAATCGACATTATCTTCAGGACTATCCTCTGGTTGCTGCCCCTCCAGCATCTTTATATGATCAGCAACTTGTTCAATGCTCGAACTGTAATGAGTAGCCATCCTCAACAAAGCCCTATTATAACTTTCCATGTCATTCTTCAACTGATATGCCTACAAAAACACGAAAACACCCCAAAGTTACTGAATAGCCCAAAAGCAAACCATAAACCTTCTAAAGAATCTCACATTCCTTTTAATGAACACCTAAAACACACTTATACAAACCACATATGTTTGAGTTCTCACAGAAAAACACCTACCAAACGATGAGTACCATAAAATATTCCTTTAACGAAGTAATGCAAACCACTATTATTTTAATAGAAACCACAAGTACACTAAAGCAAGCCAAAGAACAAACAACAGAAAACACAACTAACCAGCACATAAATAAAATAAAGTATTCCGTAAACAAACTAATGCAAACCACTATACTTGTAAAGCACACTGAAAGTACTCTAAAGAAAGCCATAAAACGAATAACACAGAAAAATCACTCACTTCTTCAACCGAATGAATACCATCCAAGTTGAGGTCAAGATAGGGAAGCTTCGGAAGATCCCCTTCCCTCTCCATATCAAGATCATCTACCCGCCTTTTCCTCTTTGAACCCTGCACACGTCCTCGTCCCATTGGTTGACTGGAGGTTGCTTGGTCTTCCACCACTACATCTCGATGACCAATAGTGAGATGACCTTCGTCCATCAGTACTTGAAAAGCATCACTTGCGACTTTGTACGACCTATGCCTACAGGTCGCTATGGGCAGCTCAGGGGGGTTCTCCAAACGGTCAAGAATCGAAATCTGCCACATATACAAACAGACAGAAGTCAAGCAACCACAAACAAACTGTGCCAGAAAGATTATAATACACACCACACAACAGGGGGGAGGCAAAAACAAACCATAAATATTCTTAAACAAACCATAAACATCTTCAACCACACCACATTCGTCAATAAACAAACCATAAATGATAAACAATACCAGAAACATTATAACAAAGGGGGCAAAAGCAAACCATAAATATTCTTAAACAAACCATAAACATCTTCAACCACACCACATTCGTCAATAAACAAACCAGAAATGAAAAACAATACCACAAACATTATAACAGGGGGGGCAAAAGAAAACCATAAATATTCTTAAACAAACCATAAACATCTTCAACCACACCACATTCATCAATAAACAAACCATAAATGAAACAGTAAACCAAAATTCGAAAAGGGGTATATTTATTGACTTACAAAAAGAAGATGAACGTCACCAGGGAACTTTGATTTTGATTGAACCACTTCAACCATACTGTCATTAAAATGGTCAGCCACATGCTTACACCAATTATATTGGGTGAAGTCAGCGACCATTTCATCTTGCAAAAAACCAGCATAGGAGAGGTTAATCTTCAAATTTCCACTGGGACACAGAACTGCCTCCATTGCATACAGTACAAAAAGATCCCTCCACTTCTTATTGTCCCTCTCCTCTTCCAATGCTAGTTTAACGTTTGCCAATGTCGCCTTTCCTTTCCTAGTATTGGAAAGCCCTAACTCAATTCCCCACATGTGCCTCTGGGCTGCACTGAACATATCCAGCTTAACAGCATACGGTCCACGCGGCAAACCATAGACTCTCACCACATTTGCCTCTCCAATTCTAAACTTCCCTGACCGAAGTAGCGGGAAAGACCTTGAACTGACATCAAAACTTTTGCAAAGCCATTCAGTAAAATTATCCGGGAGTCTCGTAAGCTTAACCCTCGACACACCCCTAAAACCCAGAGGATCAAGCATCTGCAGTTTTTCTTCACTTGTACTGTCAGCATCCATGATGGCAAGAATATGATTAGTATTACTACGATGCCTCTTATCCCGCTTTCCAGGCACAGGAGAAGCACCATCTTTCTCTCGCTTAGGTGTTGGAACTTTTTCCTTTTCTTTCCCCTTTACTGCACGTTTCTTACCAGGTGCCATGCCTACAAAGCAACCAAAACACAAACCAACATAAGCAATCTCATACCAGAACATATAAAATGCAAACCATCAAGGGCCTAATGCAAACTGTACAACCATGAAAACAATCCAATAATCAGATGTAAAGGAGACAAACAACAACTGCAAATGCACACCAGTAAATCTTCTAAACCAAACTGTGAAATCCGAAACACAAACCACAAAACCTTTTAAAAGAACCACCAACAGCAGCCTGGAAATACACAATAGTTTTATTAAAACCCTCCAGAAAGGTCCCAACTGAACCCACAAACACCCTAACTGTCACCGAACACAAAGCGCACCACCAAAATATAGAACAAAACAACAGAACTACTAAACAACACCACAAACGACTCATGAGAAACCAGAAACCCTAAAATAATCAAAGCACACCACAAAAATGAAGAAACATCCAACAAAACCTAACCAGAACGCACAACTATGAAATTTCCTCGTCTCCTTCAACAAATTTAGACTGGATGCGTCAAAACATCGCAGAAAACTGGAAAACGAAAGTAACAGAGGGCAAACATGAAAACGAAGGTTGTAAATTCAATAGCAGAAGCAAGCAATGACAATGCTAACGAAAACGATAACGGCGACGCCAAACTAACACCATACAAGTGGAACTCCGGCGACGCCAAACGACAACGGCGACTTCGCAGACCAAAACTGACGACGGAGGAGAAGACAGTTTAGCGGAGGAAATCACCGGCATACCTCGAAATTCACTTCGGCGACAGAGGAAACAGAATCGCGCGAAGGAAATCCACAAGGCGCAGACGAAATCGCTCGATGCAGATGGAAATTTGGCGAGAACAGGGAGAGAGCAACCGAAGGAGACGTCCCGTCGGAGAGCAGTTCGTGAGCAGAGGGGAAAGGGGAAAGCGGAAAACGGAAATGTCTCAATCGCGCGCTTCAATGAATTTTATTATTAATTTTGAATTTCAAATTTAATGCCAGGTAAAAGAAAACAACTTATTATTTAATATTTTGTGCAGTTACCCTTATACCCCTGTTGTTATAATAACAACACTTAAGGTGTTGTTATGCTATCCGGAGCCCATGTGTAGAGCTTCACACGAACATAACTGTTCACGAGTGACTCAGCGTTCGGATAGAGTAAAAACTCGTCTGATATTGGACTTGTTACTTAAGGAATCGACTCTCGAGCTAATTTATTCGTAAGTGAGTTGAGGTTGAGATTGTTTTTCGATGATAAAACTTTTATTACAAATTCTTATATACTAGATCGGGCCAACGTATTAAATTGGAATGAAACCTTGACGTACAACCATTCCAGCCATTCCTCTCAGGGATGAGAATCCAATGCAACTCTTCTGCATTTATTCGCACCGTATCCGGTGGACTTCCCCACCACAAATTTGCCTGATTATGTGGTTGCAAGGTTGTCAACCCGCGGGTCGACCCAGACCCGGTTGAGCTAGTGGGTCATGGGTTAATGGGTCACCCGGTTTAGCCCGGTTTAGCCCGGAAATATGAAAATAGTCTATATATTGTACTTATCTTGATTCCAATATAAGAAGAATGCAACACTACCTAAACTACAACACACATAAATAACAATCAAAGACGATATTAGAGTCAATTCCAAGAACAAGTCTTGTTAGAGAGAGACAAAAAGGATCTAAACACAGGCGCAAATTTGAAATGCTTGCTATATCAATTCCAAGTTCCCTCTAAATATACCTCCTAATAAACTTGAACCTTAACTTACTTAATTTATTCACACGTGCATTTGGGAAATTTCTTACGCTAGCTAGGATTCTAGCAATATATGAATCTCCA